CCGTTGCATGCAACGAATGTGTGCTTCGATCTTTTCAAGCTATGAGGAGCTGCATGTAGCTCCACCAGTTCGGCCTATTACCTTTAGCCTTTTGGTCATCTCAGTGCCGGTATACAAGAAAGCCGTGAGCATTTCACTCATCATGTTTTCTATTACGTACTGGCATGGAGCAGAGAAGGGGTGGTAATATGCTCACCTTAACTAAATGCATCATTATCCATTGCAGTTATGCCAAAAAGGGCTCATGCACAGTGTCGACGCGGCCTCAACAGTCTCCAGCTCACTTACGGTTCCCGTCGACGCTTGGTAGGCGGGCGAGCTCTGCATGTTCTTGCACTGTACAAATATGCCGTGAGGCTGTGTGAAATCCTCGGAACAGCCACGGCAAAAATTTCTGAACGTCGCAGTGACTACACAGCACCTCTGGTCAGCCACTGGTTCATGCGAACGATGTCACACTCATCAATTTGCTTTTCGCAGACGCGCACATTCGGGGAAACACGTGTGAAACCGCCAGTTTCTTGTCGCGGTATTGCGACGCACTTTCACTTTTCCCGCCGGTCCCTGTCTGTAGGTAGCGAGAACTTGGAGACGTTTTTGTCATTTCTTTTGTAACCGGATCGATAACCACGCACCCATCAGGTATACGGTATTCTTCCCGGTCTTCAGGCACAGTACACCAAGCACAGCAATAATCATGCGGTGAAAAACCACGTGATGCCACGCCACGATATTATGCATTGATCGCATAGCGGCACCAGCAGCCAGCTTCCCTCCGGTCTGCCCGACGCCCTGCGCTGATGCAGCGCCACCCTGTGGCCTCCACTCGCAGCTCACAAAGCTCTCCCCTATAGTTACGGCGAAGCTGTACGACCAGTAAATGTATTGAAGTACTCTGGTCGCGTTTCTTCTTTTTTTCCGCCTGGTTTTCTCAACGGCAGTACTTACTTTGCGCGTTGAGGCACGACTCCTTTGCCGAATTCGTTACTGAAGAGGGTATAGTAAATGTGCATACGGTGCCGATAGGCCACATCGAGGGCTTGCAGGTTCTTCATTTTGGTTTAAGTTTGATGTTATAATAATACAACACAAGCGAAGTGATTCTTTAGTCGAAGCGCTGAGAGAACCCGAGCCCAACGGTAGTGTGCATTTCGAGTGTTCGAAAACGCGTATTGGTCGACAAGATCAAAAATTTATTGATGAACACGTTCATGAATTTATTTAGCACGTTGAGAAATCTGACCTATTAATTAAGCACTTTAGGAAACACTTCATTCTGTCATGCAGTTGCATGCATGCCCGCCAGCACTGAATCCACTATAGAAAACTTCAGAAAAATTAAAGAGAAAATATGCCAAGAAAAGTGAAATAAGAGTTCTTTATTCTTGAACTCTATTTGAAAAATGACGTCAAATCATGAACTTATACCTTTGTTCCACTTTACATCCACATAATTTGTAAACGAAGTGAAATTAAGAATGGCGAGCCACATAATTTTTATTACGCCCTAAGGGCGCATTGTTAAAATGAAAGTAGTATTATGCCCTTAAAACGCCCAATTTGACTAGTTTGTGTTTACAATGTGGGAACAGGGAGATGAAAAGAGTGTTGCTGTCTTCACGCAGCTACATAATACAGAAGCGCACTTTGTAAAAACAAGCCTTCAGCGCCACAAATCGACCTTGTATCTGAAAAATTGAGCTATTTTATCGGCAATACACAGTTACTGAAGTCTCATTACTCAAATACAAATAACGAATGAGGAATAGTTGAGAATGATTGAGTTCATTAATGCAGGTTCACCACTAGAAAAATTCAAAGTGGATGACTTTCGCTTCAAAAGGCAGCCTCGCTGTGGTGGTCTAATAGTTAAGTTACTTGTCTATTGACCCGTAGGTTGCGGGAGAAAATCCCGGCGTCGGCAGCTGCATTTCCGATGGAGGCGAAAATGATGTAGGCTCGGATTTGGTTGCGTGTAGAACCTTATGGGGCTGCGATTTTCGGAGCCTTGCACTACAGCGTGTTTCAAAATCTTGTGATGGTTTTGGGACGTCAAGTCCTACATATCAAGAACGAAGTCATCTTCATTAGACACCACCATCTTTTTCTACGTATCGCCCTAAACCCCCTGTAAGGCGTTTTGCGTAGTGCCTATAGGATGCAAGCTGGAACACAAGCCCAACACCATAGAGAAATAATAAAAGAAAAAAAAACAAGTTAAGAGTAGACACTCCTATGAACCATGGCGGCCCAATCGACTCGAGCACACCTGGTCGTTGGTGAGAGCAACTAGCCTGCGCTTCACGTTTCGGTTTGACTGGCGCGAATTTAGGATTATTGTGCCCAAGCGACGTCTGGCTATGGCTAAAGTTAATGATTTTTCGGTCTAGTGGCTAAGGTACTCGGCTGCTGACCCGCAGGTCGCGGGTTCAAATCCCGGCTGCGGCGGCTGCATTTCCGATGGAGGCGGAAATATCGTAGGCCCGTGTGCTCAGATTTGGGTGCACGTTAAAGAACCCCAGGTGGTCGAAATTTCCGGAGCCTTCCACTACGTCGTCTCTCATAATCATATGGTGGTTTTGGGACGTTAAATCCCACAAATCAATCAATCAAAGTTAATGATTTCAGATCACTTTCTCTGTCCAAATTGCAAGCCTATTGTTTGTCGTTTTGATTTAGTGATTCCCTATTTTGTCTTACTCAAACTTGTTCCTACAAATCGAGGTCAAGGCGTAATTTTTATTTCGACTAAATTGAAACAGTAAGAGATAAGGTAGTCAAAATGCACCACGGCCTTATTCATCGCACTTGTTTTTTTTTTTAAAGCTGCCAACCTGTACCTGAACCAAAGAGACAGGAGACAGACTGTCCGCAATGTTTTTATTCCAAGGCAAGGTAGAGACTGAGAATGTAAAAAGCACAAAATCAGAAAAGCATTACACTGAAATAGAGTGCTATACTGCATCGGTTGCAAATGTTCACGTCCTTCTGGGGCATACCGCTGCAAGCTGTTCTTTTAGCGAAGCTAGCCGTCACCACAAGCTTCAGAAAAAGGTTACACAGCGCGAATAGGACACTACGTAACAAATATAAAAAGACGCCCCACACGAAGCGCTACCTATGTGAGTGTGTTTACGCTTCTTGCATGGTGTGTTATTCAGCGCAATTGTAACCTTTTTCTGAATCAATGATCGAACTAGTCCAACAACATGTCATTCAACAAGCTTCGTTTGTAGACATGCCTCACCTGCTATCTCACTGATCAAAAACACGGAAGCAGCCGGCATCGACGAAACCTTCCCGTTATAACGCCTGGGCTTGTCACACGCTTGTATGGCGCGTACTACAAATTTTCGCGAATCGTAGATGCTGTTTATGGCTGTCTGACTTAACAAAAATACCATGTGAGGTGTGCTGATTGAATTGTTTTTATTTATAAAGAACATGGGCAAATATGGGCGTATATTTATTATTTTGTGAATAACAGTCCGTCGAATTGATGGTAACTTTTTTTTTCGCACTTGCGTCATCTGGCGTTTGGCGAGAGCACTAGTTTGTTACGTATAGTGACGTACATTTTTACACCTAATTTCGCTGTAGTCTGCTGTCAAACCTTTTTTTTTTAGGGGCGAAGCTCCTTAGGGCGTGGGCTGTGCGTCCCCTGTAGCCTGTATGTAGCCACCTCTAGTTTAGTTCTTGCAGTGTTCACTAGATGGCGGTACCGTCCCCTGTATGTAGCCACCTCTAGTTTAGTTCTTGCAGTGTTCACTAGATAGCGGTACCGTCTCCTGTATGTAGCCACCTCTCGTTTAGTTCTTGTAGTGTTTACTAGATGGTGGTACTTGTAGCTGATGATGAAAAGATGCAAGATGTTATAAACTAGAAAGCGGTACTTGTAGTTGATGAAAGACGCGAGATCTTATAAATTAGGAATGATGTCACATATGGCGCGTGTCATTGGTTGAAGGCAATCGTTCGATTTAGTGCGGTGACGTACGCTAGGGGGAGCGATGTAATAAAATCGAGTGGGCAAAATGTACAGATGATTCATGGTTTACCAGGTTTACCTCCGGAGCTTCGCCCACTCATCATCATTCACTTCGTGGATATGGCGGAATTTTTTTTTCATGAGTGTCTCACAGTACCATACATTACCCGAGTGTTGCCCCGTATAAAGTAGCCGGGACACTGAACAAGCCTCACCCTTAAGGTACTTACCTCGCCCCTAAACTCTGCATAAAAAGGAATGCGTGCCCGGGACAATAACAGCACTTCCCAGTACAAATGTCGTGGTCCGTGCACCTTCGGTGTGGCTACTAGAAGCAGGCATACTCGTGACGCCGTCAAGCCACGCAGAGCTCGTAGCTACCGGCAATACCAGCAGATATATAGCCTTCGGCCTTATTTATAGAACGCTTCCCGTTTCCTTATGCCACTGATGGACACTGCCGCGTAGTTCGGAGAAGCGGAGCGGCAGTGTCTTGTACCTTTAACGCTGAGTTTTTCTAGAGATAGCTTTAGTGAAAACGCAACTATTATGAACTTCGTTTGCTTGGAGAATAATTGTAATGAACCAGCACAAAAAATAGTGTAGCCGCGTTATATGAGCTGCTATATCACAAAGCTTAACGTCTTATGAAACAACTAAAACAAAAAAGAAACAGAGGACATAAGAAAAAGCAACTCGTTTTCTCAGATTGAAGCACACCACTTTGTAAATTCGGCAACACCCAGCGAAAGCGGAACTTCGTCAATTACAATTTCACAATAACCTCATATCGTACCGACCATAAGAAGTGGATATATATTTCAGTCTTTCACCAAGGTGTTTTGCACTAGCGTTCCCGAGCTTTACGTAAATGTCTCGTCGTCTTATCTCTGTAACTGCAAAATAATAAGCGTATGACTGGCGCTCCCGGCGTGTTTCCCGTCGACTGGCACGCCGCCAAGCCCGATCGTCGTCAAGCGCGGAGTGGGTCGGCGCTCTCCCTTTCTTCACGGAAACGACGCCGTCGTTGACGCGCGCCACCCGAACGAGAGAGGCACGTGCGCCGCCGCCGCTAGACGCGCTGTTCGCCGTGGGCGTCGACAGCGTGGCGCTCGCTTCCGAAGGTTGGCTACTTGCACGCCCACTGCAGCGAGACGTTCTTGGCCGAGAAAGCAAGCGCAATGAGCCCACCGAGGGCTGCGCCTGGCGTTCCCCAGCTGCTAGTGCCTGTGCTAAGACAAGCGCCGGCTTTCTTAAAGGCCTGCATTCGCCGAAGTTACGCAAAAAGCCGCCGGTTACTGCGTCCAAGTTTTGTCGGCAATTTTTGTATCGAGGCGTGGATTCGCGATTGCCTTTGATACTTCCAGTGCTAGTCAAGTGAAAGTTGTGTGCTGACACCCATGTGCTAGAAAACGTCTTTTGAATGCGGACAATTTCGTTATTGGTCGGCTTCGTTTCAACGTGGTGTCAAGCTGCGATAGTATTTTCAGCGAAAAACCATCATTGTGCAAGAGCCGATACTCGTCTTGCCGTTTCTAAGTTTCCCGTGTGCGCTGCCATTGGAGTGCATCCCGTTTAACGGCTCATCGAGGGTGCTGCAGAGAACGGAGGTACAGCAAAATGATTCTGCAGGAGAGCACGTGTCCTGTCTGGACGTTGTTGGTCATCGCGACGACCCTGGCAGCGGCCACAACGCCTGTGTCAAGGTTTCCTGTTCCGAACGAAGACCGAGAAGGTGAGGCTGGTTTCTTACTCAATAACACTCTGTGACGCTGTTGTCACAGAGGACACTACTACCTCATGCTAAATGCGTCATAAATGCGCGGTATCGCACTCATGAAAAATGCATAGATGCGTAGTAGTACTCACGGAGTCAGCAATTTGGAGCCGTATTCAGCAACACACTTCTTAAGCTAGAACCATTTCATATGCAAAAGAATTTGGCTCTAATTATACTGAGGACATTCAAAGAAGTAAGAAGTTTTAAACCATTTCTTTGCGTATTGTAAGCACTTTTGGCGTCTATCTATCTATCTATCTATCTATCTATCTATCTATCTATCTATCTATCTATCTATCTATCTATCTATCTGTCTGTCTGTCTGTCTGTCTGTCTGTCTGTCTGTCTGTCTGTCTGTCTGTCTGTCTGTCTGTCTGTCTGTCTGTCTGTCTGTCTGTCTGTCTGTCTGTCTGTCTGTCTGTCTGTCTGTCTGTCTGTCTGTCTGTCTGTCTGTCTGTCTGTCTGTCTGTCTGTCTGTCTGTCTGTCCGCCCGCCCGCCCGCCTACGTCCAGGGGCTCTCATGAACACCCCCTTAGCCTGGGGTACATCAAAATTAGTATGGCAGGGTAAGATCTTTTGACGAATACCACCCGCTGGTCATGACATGAATAATGCCATTATCTTGTTACGTACATCGTCAAACAGTTTGCGAAGAGCAGTGGCCCTACTCGGAGACCAATGTATGCATGTCTGTGACTCATCTGATAGATATTTTATATCTGCCCAGGAGGCACGAGAACACACATCGATATACATAGATAACTTTACGCTGGAGTGTTAAAAAACACCTGTAATAAGCAGCGTTGACCGGACGATTGCAAAATAGAAGTGTAAGTATTCCAGCATGAATTGAACCCTATAGCATCCTGTGTGGCTTTCAAGTATTCTACCAGCAGAGTCACAGTATGCCTCGGCTCTACTTTTCAAGTAGGCCCAACTGTTCGTGCAACGTGATTTGTGGTTGCGGGAATGGCTGTACAGTTTTATAAACATTACTTATTTACCCCTGCCCCGCCACGGTGGTCTAGTGGCTAAGGTACTCGGCTGCTGACCCGCAGGTCACGGGTTCATATCCCAGGCTGCGGCGGCTGCATTTCCGATGGAGGCTGAAATGTTGTAGGCCCGTGTGCTCAGATTTGGGTGCACGTTAAAGAACCCCAGGTGGTCGAAATTTCCGGAGCCCTCCACTACGGCGTCTCTCATAATCATATGGTGGTTTTGGGACGTTAAACCCCACAAATCAATCAATTATTTACTCCTATGATACAGCCATGATATCGGGTTGACGTAAATTGTAGTTGGGCACCATCCGCCTAAGTTGATTTGTGTAGCAGTGTTGAGGGCTACCATCCTCACGTGCCCTATTGCGAACACCAGCTCAGCCTACCACTTGTTGTGTTCCTAATATCCCGGTCACTGTTGGCATCGTTACGAACTGTAAACAACTGCTAATATAAAACATATGCGGCTGTTTAACGTATGTGTGTACGTAGAACTGTTCATATATTTAGCGCCACTTCATAAAATCTCGATCTACAAAAAATAAAAATCAAACTCATTCACCTTTCATTCGCATGCCTCGCATTACTTTGATTCCCAAGGTACGTGGGGTCTGCCACTTTTATATTCAGGCGCGAGAATACAGTGTTTCAAAACGCTAACATAACCGCTTAACAAGGCCCTTAAAGCCCACCAAGTTCAAAGGCGAGTCAGTGGTTTCATTCTTGCCTTCGCTACCCTTGCTACAGGCGCTATCTCCTCCTCACTCTTTATTTCTTCTTGAAACAAGTAGAATGTGAGCTCTAAGCGTTGATCCCGTCAGGATTTCTCACTTTTTCATTGCATGCTGCAGTTCTCTGTGCTTTCGCGGCCACCAATACAGGAAACGAAGTGAAATTCATTTATGGCGCGCGATAGTCACGCGAGATAAGGCATAACAGGCAGGCGAATGAGACGGCAAAATAGCGTAAGTGAAAATGTATTGCAGATATCTTTCGTATATCGACCGATGGAAAGCTCATTTAATCCTTATGTCACGTGATCACAGTTCTGGCGCCACTAATTGTGCCACTAAGTCGAGAAACACCAGGAGAGATTAACACAGTCATTTTTTTTTATTTTAGAGGCTGTTTAAGGGCTGTTTAGGACCCGTGCAAGCTAAGTGTACGCCTTCTTAAAGGGAAGTTCGTAGGCTAGGTTAAACTTGATGTGGCCAAGGGGAAACAGAGGCACGTGAATGTAAACACTTGCCGTAGTGTGAGAACGACGCCCGACGCAAGCGCCCGCGGCGCACAAATGGGCTGGAAATCACAAATGTAATGTTTCAAAGGCCATATAGTCTTTCTTATAGTTTTTTCGAATATTTCAATGCAAAAAGTTAAGTCCGAATGTCGGCCGACTTTTCTGTGTCACCTGAAAGGGCCAAAATCCAATCCCATCCACAGCGTCCACCAATATTCATCTGCCTTCAGCGTGCATACTTCAAAGGCAATTATTGCGCATATCTGACGCGCAACTTCAACACGTCAATATCTTTGGTGTGTTTCTTTATGCTACAAAAGTCATACATATGTAATTCCAAAGAACGAATACTACAGAGTGTATTACGCTGAGTTGACTATATAACGCTATGCATGAAAAGGTGGGTGTTTCCTGCGCTTTGCTGAGATGATACGGTGGTGGCACCTACTCGTCATCTTGTATTGTACAAATTATGGCGCTGAGATGGCGCGCACATGCCACGCGCTTGCTGTATAGGAGGCACTTCATTTTCCAAGACTACTGCCAGGTGACGCTCGTTTCTTCCGCAGTTCCTCCAGTATCCTATTCACCTGTTTTCTCGTGCAGGACATCAAATAACCGTTTTATTCACTCCCTCGAGATGCAAGACATTCGCAGTGAAACATGCAAATACAGGGAAACTTTTTTGGCATGTTTTTATATTCATTGGACAACCGGCTCCTCTAAAAATGGAGCCTGTATCACGATTGATATAAACGTTTTTAAGGGCTGTTTTCACGAAAGAGGCTTTGGCAAACAGCCAGCCAAGCACAAATATTACCACGTATCATCCATGCCGTATCATCAGACACCACGATAGCCTAATGCCTGACGTGTTGTGATGTTAAGTTGAAAGTTGCATGTTTGTTTACTGGCCACAGCGGCCGTACTTAAATGTGGGAGAAATTAAAAACCACCCGTTTAGAACATACGTATAGGCGCGCGTTAAAGATTGCCACCTGGTCAAAGTGATTTACAAAAAAAAAATTGGAATGTTTCAACCCTCAATATTCTAACGTTGTTTAATTGTGGAATTTCTTGACTTAAGTATATCTACTAAAAGACCGTTCGATAGTTGTCGACCGTAAGCGTGCGTGGCACTCTGCACAGCGGGCATGTTAGCTCAGAGGGAAATGCAGATATACATAATCTTCTCCCCTTCAGCCTTCAGGGACAGTACAATTTTAGATTTGGCCAGCACATTACACTGATAGATTGAATAAATAAAAGGTACTAGGAAACTCCGGCATCATAAGAGCAGCAACGATTGCGTCCCATCGCCCCGCAATCACATTCCCATGCAATGAACCACTCTTTCAGCCTACGCATTGCTGGCGCCACTGTGTGGCATCGCTATCATAGGCCTCAGCGCTGCTATGCGCTCACCTACCTACTCTTATCTAGCTCACCATACTATTGACTTGATAATATTTGTGATCTACTTTTGCATGCCTTATATCCAGAGCAACGTAGTGACTGAAATGTATGGATAACTTTCCGCACTTGCAAGTTTAGTCCACCAACTTTTGATGAAAAGAGTGTATCGGAACGTCAGTAATAAATGCGGAAATTATATAGACAGGGCCAACTCTGGATGAACAGAGTGGGAGTTCTGAGAAAGAAAGAGACTTCAAGAGGTGAAAAGTTCTCGTAGAACCGGTTAGACCACTTCAAAAAGGGCTCTCGTCTTTAAATTAGCACCTTCCTTCTTCAGCGTGCATGTGTTTGGTTTGAGCACCCTCTCTCAACTACATAAGTGGGGGAGAAGAGGGATAGCGCACGAACAGGGGGCGCGGGGTGAAGATGTGGAATAAAATAACATTAGAGAGGACATGGCATGCAGATATGCATGCGTAATATCATAAATTGTGGTGTTTAACATTCAAAAAATTGTATATAATAATAGAGGATGCCGTAGGAAAGGACTCGGGGAATATCGACCACCTGTGGTTCTCACATGCGCTTTAAGCGCACGCGCCTGCAGCGTCTACGCTTCCACCAAGAACGCGACCACCACGGCCGCAATTTGATGTCACGACCGCTGTGTCATCAGTCAAGTCCCGTAACCAGTATAACAGCGTGGCGGGTCGGTGTGTAGGGGGGAAACATCGCCCGCGTCGCAAAGGTATAAGGTGAGTGTGTCGTTCCAGTAGCCCATGCAGGTGACAAGTGAGTAGCTGCAGATGACCATTTATGTTGATCGGTATGGTTAGAAATGCCAGAAAAAAAAAACGGGGATGAAGTCTCGCTGGCTTGCGTTATGCTTGTCGGGCATAGTGGACTGATCCAAGAGCTAGATTGAAATGTACTTTCCCTCTTCGACTAGCCTTTTGTGTTTAGGCTAGAGTGTATAAGAAGCATACGCGCGCTCAGCTGGGTGGTTTCCACCTTCATGAACGCTACACCTCTTTCTGAAGTGTTGGCTCAGCTGCAGTAACACCCTTTCTGCAAGAATTTTTACAACTCCGTACGGGCCCCTCACAGCATAGATAGTGCTAACAATCGGCATAAACGAGTGGAAAGCTGCCGTCATTACGGTTCAGTGTGGTATCAGGAGTCATAATAACGCTTGTTGCTGCGGCAACCATTCATGGCCTACCGGGGTAAACAAGATTCACAACGACCCTTGAAAATCAAAAAGCAGGTATCAGTCTCTTTCGTGTAGTCTTTATATT